ACTAATTTTGAAGTTGAAATCACCAAAGAATTATATCTCTACATTTCATTCATCCGATGTAGCGGACACAGTGTCCACAAAAATGTATAATATTATTGATATTTAGGATGATATAGGATTCTTTGGGATCTTTTTGCTTCAACAACTTGTGACAAATACCTCTCCAGAAATCTATTGACCAAAATTCCTATGCTTTTGCATGCATAGGAGTGCCTTTCTGCAAATGAAGCCCATCACAAACTAGCAAGGTTATGCAACCAGTATGGATAACATGCTCAGTAAGGTGGGGCTAACCTCAGTGATTCATCCTACCCGCTACAATGTGTTTAGAACAGAATGGTTGAATATGATTATAACTGAAATGCAACTTTTTTAGGAGCAGCATGCTAGAACAGAACACCTTGGTTTCTTTCATCATTTAAAGAAATAATCCAGTACGACATTTTTCTCTAGATAAACAAACTCATCTTTCTGTGACATAATTTTTGTACTTATGAAAGTGTTAAATTCACAGAAAAAGATAGGTTTCAACATTGTACCTTATCATAATAATGAGTTTTATACCAAGTGTGATAAAGCTGACCTGAGAGCAAATACAAGGAAAGTTACAAGTGTAATGAACAGATTTTTTTTTCTAAATTCCGATTGTGTCTTAGAGCCTTTCAGATTTAATATAACAGATACTGCTGCATTTATACACAAGCATACATGCATACACAATAAATTGGTGAAAAGAACAAAGCTTAAAATCTGCCTTGCGTATATGAAATATTGTTTTAAATAAATCTAGTTATTTCAGCTCAGTACTATGTTGTCCTATAATGGCTTATGGTCAGAGTGCTATAAACAATTTCCTATGTTACCAGCAATATCCCTGCAAAAATATTTCAAGCTCGCAGTTCATTTCGGGGAAGCAATTTGTTTTTGAAGCCTGCAGATGAAGTTGGTAAAAAACTGACATCCAAATATATATTGTCTCTGTAAAATCTGTGTAGCTGTGTAAAAGGAAAGATCTGTGTAAAAGGAAAGATATAGTTGGACAGGATAGCCCAAACATCAAATCCAAAGTATAATGGGTTGCATTATATTACAGATTTCATTTACTTGCAAGAGATGGAAATGAATTCAAGGCTACCATGGCCTGAATTGGGATGAATATCTACATTGATATCTACAGAAAACCACAAGAATAAAAATCAAGCCCAGAAACCAATAAGTTATATGGGTTGTTGTAGGTTTTTTTCGGGTTATATGTCCATGTTCTTGTTGAGGGGTTATGATTGTTATACTGTTGTTAATTGTTGATGTTATAATCTGTTTTAATTGCATTATACTGTTTGTGATATTTTGCATTGTTGTGTAAACCGCTTTGAGTCGTCTAAGGGCTGAGAAAAGCGGTATAGAAATAAAGTAAATAAATAAATAAATAAATAAAATGTTCTAGAGGCATTATCTCCTGATGTTTCGCCTGCATCTATGGCAAGCATCCTCAGAGGTAGCGAGATCTGTTGGAACTAGGAAAATTGGGTTTATATATCTGTGGAATGACCAGGGTGGGACAAAGAACTCTTGTCTGTTGGAGCTAGGTGTGACTGTTCCTCTAGAACATGGCCAGTGATTCTGGCCATGAAAGCCTCTGACAATACATCAATCAGTTATATGTTGAACTTTTCCCAGATTTGTAAAATGAAGCTACAATGACTGCAATTACAATATTAATAATCATGGCCTCTTAATCCCCTTCTTTCTCTCTGTTTCCCAGCTAACATACAGTATAACAGAACAAAATAAGAATACTTTTTCAAATGGCTTCATATTACACAGGGGCAAAGAAGCAGATATTAGCATCTTTGACAATGTGAATTAAAAACAGCATAAGAAGTGTTTTTGAGATAGGACATATATACTCCAAGGGAGTCAGAAGAGATAAACTGTAAAGTTTTGTGCCACCATTTTGTGTCTGTATTTTATAAATGGGAAGATGTTGTGTTCACGGGGTTTGATATTATGACTAGCAATCACCAGATATTCCTTCCCTTTCAGACAACACATTGCTTATAATAGCACAAGCCTGTTTTATTTTCTAGTGGATACTACTTCCTAGGAAACAAAAGGTGATTCTTCTGTAGGTTTTGGAACAGGAAAACAACTAGAACCTACAACAAGAAAGTCTTCCCTTATTGTTTTGCATCTTCAGATCCATATAAAAAGAGTGCAAGGAAATTGCAGGACCATTGTGAAGAATAAATGGCAAAATGCTTACAAGGTATAGAGAAAAGGGGAAAAAACCTACTCAACACTTTCTTTGCTTTCTCTTCTCCCTAAAGGAAAACAGTGTTCAGCCTGGAGGTAATGGAGCAGGTGATTCAGTAAGGGAAAATGTAGTGCAGAGTAAGTAGTAGTACAGGAGTACCTGGCTACTCTAAATGAATCCAAGTCTCAATGGACAGATGAACTACATCCAAGTATATTAAAATAACTGGCAGAAGTAATATTAGAACCACTGGAAATAATCTTTGAAAATATCTGTAGAGCAGGAGAAGTCCCTCCAGGCTCAATGAGGGTAAATGTCATTCCCCTCTTCAAAAAGGAAAGAAAAATAGGACCTCAAGAATTAACACCTAGTCAGTTGATATCAATTCCAGGGATTTTTTTTAAAAAGTAGATCATTAAATAGTTTGTAAGTACTATGAAAGAAATGTCATGATCACCAAAAATTCAATATGGATTTCTGAAAAACAGGGCAAGACAGATTGATCTTATGTCTCCCCTCTACCCCATCTTTTGTTTGATAGAGTTGCAAGCATGGTAGATGAAGGAAATGCTGTGTGTGTGACATATCTTGATTTAAGTACAAACTTTCGAAAGGTTTCCCAAAATATTATTGCAACCAAGCTAGTAAGTTGTGAACTAGGCAATGCTACTGGTAGGTGGTTTTGTGTTGATTTAATTGATTACAAGGGTGCTAGTTCCTCCTCAACTTGGAGCAAAATTACTGATGGGATGCCACAGGGTTAAGTCCCAGGTCCATGGCATTCAACATCTTTGTAAAAGATATGGATAATAGGGAGCAGGTATATCAAAATTACCAATAACATCAAATAGGGAGAAATGTAAGGTTCTGTAGGCACATACAGGATGAGTAGCACAAGTATTTGTGAAAGTGATTTAGGGAGTCTAAGGACTAAGGACCAAGGGCAAGATGGATGAATGGCATCCTTGAAGTGACTGGACTGACCTTGAAGGAGCTGGGGGTGGTGACGGCCGACAGGGAGCTCTGGTGTGGGCTGGTCCATGAGGTCACGAAGAGTCAGAGACGACTGAACGAATGAACAACAAAGGACTTTATCACACCAACTGGAAATCTTGTAGCAATCATGCTGTTTACACAATTCGGAAACATACACTTTATTTCACACACATGCCGCCACTGCACAATGTTGCTGTTCTGTTGATTTTGAATCCTACAAGAACTATTCTGCACAGTTCCGCTAGACTCTCTCCCCCGCATCCACACCCCAGGTTCATTCTGCCCTGTGCATTCAGCACAGTATTATGTGACTGCAACTTGGTTGGGGTTAGGAAGGGGACAGGAGAAGAATCACTGAGCTTTCTACATGTGACTGCATTAATTCCGGAATTGCTAAGGAAGGAAATAATTGCTTCAGAAATAGTGCTGCAACTACAGTGACGGTGGAGCCATTAATGGGGTTCCACCTGTTAATGAAAATACATAATCTAAGAACAAGATGGACAGTATGCAACAAAGAGCAAAATGTGATATCATGTGGATCAAAATTGCACCTTAATACTCATGTGAAAACTTCTTTAGTACACAAAAACTGAACACGACTCAACATTTTGATGCAACAGCTAAAAATACCATCAATAGAATTGTAGCATCTAGATCGAAGGAAGTAATACTATCTCTCTATTCTACTTTGATCAGATCTCACCTGAAAAACTGTGTTTAGATTTGTGCACCAGCATTCAAGAAGAATATTGATAAACTGGAATGTGTCCAAATAAGAGAAACCAAAATGGTAAAAGGTATAAAAGCTAAGCCCTATTAGGAGAGGCTTGGGGAGCTTGATATGTTTAGTTTTGATAAGAGAAGGCTGAGAGGAGACGATAACCATAATTAAATATTTGAAAGACTTTCACATTCAAGATAGAGCAAGCTTGTTTTCTGTTACTCCAGGGCATGGATCAAGGAATGCAACCTACAGAAAAAGAGGATTAGGAAAAAAAAACGTCCTGAGAATAAGAGTCATTCCACAGTGGAATAAGCTGTTCCGTTGAGTCTCCTACATTGGGTATTTTTAAAACAAGCTGGGTGGCCATCTGTCAGAAGTGCTTTGATTATGTGTTCCTGAATGAGAGAAGGTTGGACTGCATGGCCTTTGTAGACAACTCCAGCTCCAGATTCAATTATTCTGTTTTATGATTCTTTGTCACACTGATGTGATTATATAAAAAATGGAAACTGGATATTGGGTGTTTTCTTTAATAAAAAATTGTGACATTGAGCTTTGATCAGGCAAATTTGGATTTATGCCCTAATGCTTAATCGCCATGTTCTCAGCCTTGGTTTTCACTCTGCAAAATAAGAATTATTATATTGTACCTGCAGTACAGTCTTAAGGATGCTTATACTCTCTCAAAAGCATGCCTAAACATTAAATTTGAAAGGCATTTAACATTTATGAGAACGGATACTATTTTCATTGAGTATAGAAGTTATGCTATCAGACTTTCTAATATTCAACCAGTCAAGCATGTGAAGTATTTCTGTTTCTCTTTCAAGCACATTATACTTATACCATACCTATAGGGCAATGTCTTACAAAAACCAGGAAATATTGCATTAATAAGTAGGAAAGGGTGAGAAATGCATTGCTGATAGCTTTTCTAGAGATACTGGCACATGTTTGATGAACCCTAGGTCTTGAAACACTTTGCAGAGACCAGAGCTATAGCATGAAACATAAATGAGCTACCTGATATCCAAATGTATCATTTTGCGATCCATGGCGAGGAACTCCGGGGTTTTCGCATGCTGTGCGTGAAGGCTCTGTAATACAGAAAACATTTCAAATGAAAATAAATGGTTATATTTAAATGCATTTGTAGCCAAATTCATGTGAATAGTCTTCAGAAGTGTCAATATTTAAACTGAAGTTTAAGTTGCAGTGAATTCCATTATTCATTTATTAAGCGGGATTTTAAGGGGGAAAAACATGCATGTATAGCCTTATCTATAAAAAGAAATATAGAAACAAAACAAAACAAAACGTGTAATGGAACCAAAAAAAAAAAAAGATAAAAGCATGCATCAACTCAGAGATTTGGGCTGTTAACCAAGGTTAGCAAGATCTGTGTATATATTGCTGACATAATCTATTTATCACACTTATGTACACAAATAATTTACCAATTGCCACTCCAGCTTGTATTACACATCAGCTGCATTATCAGGGTAGCATCCAGGTTTTGTTATGCTTACAAGAAAATTTCATTGATATTGAAATGGATGGAGCTCAGTGGTCCTTATCTAAGCCCGGCTTCATATAAAGCTCTTGTGTTCAGGCATGATGACAGCTTTTGTTTGAAGGTGTATGCATTTGATACAAAATGGAGTTGCCAGAATTTTGCATATACCGATCATGCACATCACAAATACTTTAAAATCTAATTATCCTTAATGTCATCATATACCAATACACTCCCTTAAAAGAAACAAACAAATCAATAAACAAATTCTAGTACAAACTTTATTTTCCTCCTGGATGAAGTTGAAAAGCAAGTATCCCTTTTTATCAAGAAGGGTAATGGCAAAACCATAGTTTATCCCCAAAGCTTTGTAGTTTGTGCCAAAAAATTATCTATATTTTTTGCCTTCAAATAATGATTCTATGCAAAAAAAGCCTCACCCCTTTTGTAAAAAAACACTAAATTTTAGAATATTGTTGACAAAAATAGGTATTTCTCTTATTTTGCCTTGCCAGAGAAAATGTTTGAAATGCTTTGTTCTTGTGTGCACTAATAAACCAAGTGTACCTCTTTAATATAGATTGGGATACAATGATGCTACATGAAGAGGAGCCATTTCCAGATTTATTAAGATTTAGAAAATCTTAAGGTCTATTAAGAAAAACACACACACACACACATATATATGTTATATATATATATATATATATATATATATATATATATATATATATATCATTGTAGTCCTCATATTCGGAATTTCTTTACCATCTAGAGTCAGTTTTTATGAGGAATAGGAACATGTTCAAGAATGGTCCCTGAGTAAATGGATGTTGAAAATTATGCCCAGTGAAAATGGCATTAAGCAATTCATGCAAAAGAATAGTTTAAGAAATATAACTCATCATACCTATGCAACGAGGGGAGGATCCACTCCAAGTACCATCTGCTTGGCATATCCGAGTACTAGAACCAACCAATATAAATGGGAGATTACAACTGAAGGAGACTTCTGATTGATAAATAAAGCTCTTGCCTTCCCTTCTGCCTTGAGCTGGTATTCCTGGATCACCACAAAACTTTGCTGTAGAAGAAGAAAACACATGAAAAATGTTCTGTACAATACAAAGTGGAATGTTAGAGTGTCTATTTGAACCTCTCAATTACATGCAAAGTGTATACAGTACAACCCCAGTCTACATGGGAATGGTATCTTTGGTTGCATTTACCCACATCTGACAGAACACATTCTCTCTAGGCACTTCATAGGCCTTTATATTCTGGGGCCAGAGGTTCTTCATTTCAATAGGATCTGCTATGAGCCATAGTTCTGGGTATCCACATGAGGTATGAGAACACAATCCTTGCGAATATTGGTGGGGCGGAGGTGGGGAGGTTGTGTTTTAGATATTATCATATTGTAGCATACATTGAGACTCTTAAATTTCAGTTACACAGGTGTCAAATACAAGGCCCACAGCTTGAATCCGGTCCTCCATGTCATTTTATGTGGCCCTTCAGATGCCACAGAACAGATGACTAGAACTGATGGGAAAAGGGATACAGTAACATTTGAAAGGCTGCAGTTTGTTCTGTTTAGTCATGATAATGTGTTTGAATCTAGATATAATATGTGTGGATATGACATCTGACTTTAGAATGTCCTATAACTTTTTCCCAACTTCAGAGCCACAAGTCCTATTGGGCTGCAATTCCCATTATCCCCAGTTTGCATGGCAGATAATAAAAAATGGGAGCTATCACTTAATCGGGGCACCCAAATTGGGACAAAACTAAAGATCATCGACTATGTAAAAAAAAATTACAGTTGACACTCTCTACCATAGATTCTCCATCCAACGCACTTTGAAGACAACCATAAGTCTTATGTCGCCCTCAATGAAAATGAGTTGGACATCCCTGAACGATTAGGTATATAAAAATCCAAAAAGAATACCGGGTTCATATATACTATCTAAACTTTATTTTTAAAATATGCATATGTCTATAAGAATACAAATTTATGGAAATAGTTTAAATGCTCTTTAGAGAAATAAATTCTGAGCATTTATGTCTGTAACTTTGGTTATTTTTTATGTGAGGTTTTTTGGTGGAACTAAATCATTGTCTACAATCTTTTCAAAGTGCTATATGTACTATGGTTGGATGCTTAGTAACTCTCTTTGTGAGTAGGTAGCCATGGAAACTAAACACCACTGTCATTCACATCAATCTTTTTTCTTTTTTCTCTATAATGGAAAAATCTACAGAGAAAACACTGTTTATTTGTAGCAGACTACAAGTTCTAGAACTCTTTCTTTTTTCAGCAAAGTTTGCACTGTGGTTGCTGTTTTCCAAAGCCACCCAGATGTGTCTGGAAGTGATAATTAATACTGCTTCTATTTTATGCCACATAAGCATAGTTAACTGGAAAGGTGTTGTGAATCTGACCAATGCCTGGCAGATAATACAATCTAGGAACACAGGGAAGCAACAGCAATATATATATATATATATATATATATATATATATATATATATATAGACCCTGAGAAATCCATGAATGAGGAAAAATAGGAAATTACTTTATGACACCATTCTGAGTAGTTTGGCCCCCTCGATGGACTGTCACCTTGTTGTGGTGAGGGGGCTTGCGCGTTCCGATGAACCTGTAGGCACAACAACTGGAGTCGTGCACTCCCAGGAGTGGCTGCGGGGGAGGTTCCAGACCAAGCACAGTCCGAAGACCCAAAGACCTCAACGGCGGAGCAGGAGGAGGATAACATGGCACATGTTACAACGGCTGCGAAGGCGGAAGAAGGCTGCAACAGACTGAGAAGCCACGGTCATTGTGTTAAACTACATCACCAGTGGAACCTCACTCTGTGAAGTCTGTGTGTTGATCAGTTGTGCACTGACCTCCACACATTAAAAAAACCCACGCACAGGCGCCTTCCAAAGAAAATAAAAACAAACCAACCAAAGTCCCATGGCGATCAGCGAGTGGCGACGGGGGCAGGACTGTGAAATCTGGAAGCCCCTAGTCACAGACTGGCACATGGGCGGTGGGTACGGACTCAGTCGTTCTACCTCAAGGACCGAGGCAGTTGAGTAGTTCGGCAGCTGTATCCGCGACTGAGCAGCCCTTTTTAGGACCCACTCTGCTCACCCCACACGGGGAGGGGGCTAGAAAAGGTGCCCTAAACGTAGTCTGCCTCACTTATCCCTGACTGGACTGCCGCGTCCAGTGGGGTCACCACCCTGCGGCCAAAAAAGGAAAATGAACTTCGGTACGTGGAACGTACGGACTCTGATGGACAACAGTGGCAGTGAACGCCCCGAACGCAGAACTGCCATCATTGCAAGGGAGCTGGGACGCTTCAACATCGACATAGCAGCCCTTCAGGAGACCCGGAGAGCAGGAGAGGGACAGCTGAAGGAAGAAAAAGGAGGCTACACCTTCTTCTGGAAGGGACTGCCCGAAAAAGACCAAAGAATGCACGGAGTTGGCTTTGCCATCAGGAATGATCTGGTGAAACATCTGACCGAAGCACCCACTGGCATCAACGAACGACTCTCAACCCTCCGAATCGATCTTGCCAAAAACCAACGGGCAACCATCATAAGTGCCTATGCACCAACACTAGATGCTGACGAAGACATCAAGGAGAAATGCTACTGTCAGCTGGACACCGTCCTATCGGGGATACCTAAGGAGGACAAAATCATCCTCCTGGGGGACTTCAATGCAAGAGTCGGGCGAGACTTCGACCTGTGGCCAGGAACCATCGGAAAAGACGGGGTTGGAAACAGCAACTCAAATGGCATCCTGCTTCTCACCAAATGTGCGGAGCACAACCTTGTCATCACCAACACGTTCTTCCGCCAGAAAAACAAGTTCAAGACATCATGGAAGCACCCCCGGTCAAAGCATTGGCACCTCTTAGACTATGTAATCACACGCGCCAGAGACCGCCGTGACGTGCTCCTCACAAGAGCCATGACAGGTGCTGACGACTGCTGGACTGAACAAGGATAATTGATCCTAGATCGTGTGTCGTCAGACGCTCACAAGGGCAGACTCCCAAGGAACGGAAGACACAAGGCGAAAACATGAACAGTCCAGACCCTTCAGGGAAGCCCTCCAGACGATGGCCCATCTCCAACAAAAGGAAACTAAAGGACTAACTTCTACCATACAAGGACACGCGGAAAGTGTCGACGGAAAATTGGAAACACATAATGAAGAAAATTACATCATCCAGCCTGCGAAAGAAACTATGGATAACCCAATGCCAAGAAAAACCTCAAGACTGGTCTTGATGAAAAAGATTGCTTCAGGAAATCTAATTTCCTTAGCGTTTAAGCATTAAGCCTCCTTCATTGCAGAGAGAAGCAATGTTGTGCTAAGAAAAAGATCTATGCCAGTACACAAAAGGCTTTGAGGTTAAAAGACAGGAAAAAGAACCCTCCAAAGAATCGTCTGGGGAAAAATAAGCGGCCTGACAGAAAACTCACCAAAAACCTGGCAGATACCCATGATGCTTAGGAGTCTTCAAAGCCACAAAGGTCATCTATGGACCAAGAAACCATGGGATACAGCCTCTACGCTCATCAGATGGAACCAAACTCCTGAAGGACCAAAACTCAATTGCACTACGTTGGAAAGAACACTACCAAAGCCTCCTGAACCGCAGCTCCAATGTGGCCGAAGAGGTCCTCTCACAAATCCCGCAACAACAAACCAGGGACGAGCTTGCAGCACTGCCTAGTTTGGAAGAAGTCAGCAATGCCATCAGCCAACAGAAGAATAACAAAGCCAGTGGACCAGATGGGATCCCTGCTGAAATCTTTAAAGAGGGAGGACCTGAGCTGACACACCAACTCCACCAGCTCATAGAAAAAGTGTGGGTAACCGAGAAAATCCCAGCAGATTTCAAGGACGCCACCATCATCACCCTCTTCAAAAAAGGGGAAAGAACAGACTGCGGAAACTATCGAGGTATCTCCCTTCTAACCTCCGCTGGAAAAATCCTCGCAAGAATCCTTGCAAACCGCCTTCTGCCCCTCTCAGAAGACACCCTCCCAGAATCCCAGAATGGCTTCCGCCCCTCCAGAGGAACCGTGGACATGATCTTCACTGCACGACAGCTCCAAGAAAAATGCAGGGAACAAAACCAACCTTTGTACATGGCATTCATTGACCTGGCAAAGGTATTCGACACAGTAAATCACAGCACTCTCTGGACCATCCTTCAAAAAATCGGGTGCCCTGACAGATTTGTGAACATCTTGTGGCTTCTCCATGATGACAGGATGGCAACAGTCTTGGACACCAATGGCTCCCAAAGTGACCCATTTAAGGTGGAATCAGGTGTCAAACAAGGATGTGTTATTGCCCCAACCTTATTTTCCATCTTTATCGCTATGATACTTCATCTTGTTGATGGGAAGCTTCCCACCGGAGTGGAAATCATCAATCGGACAGAGGGCAAGCTATTCAACCTCAGCAGACTGAAAGCCAAAACCAAGGTTACAACAACATCTGTTATAGAACTCCACTATGCTGATGACAAGTCGTCTGTGCGCATTCAGAAGAAGATCTACAAGCCACTCTAAACACCTTCGCAGAAGCATACGAGAAGCTCGGCCTGTCACTGAACATTGAGAAAACCAAAGTGCTGTTCCAGCAGTCACCAGCCAATCCCTCCCCAATGCCAGAGATACAGCTTAATGGTGTAACATTAGAAAATGTTGATAATTTCCGCTACCTTGGCAGCCACCTCTCCACCAAAGTCAACATCGACAACGAAATGCAACAATGCCTGAGCTCTGCAAATGCAGCATTTTCCCGAATGAAGCAGAGAGTGTTTGAGGACCGAGACATCCGTAGGGATATCAAGGTGCATGTCTACAAAGCTATTGTCCTCCCAACCCTGCTATATGCCTGTGAGACGTGGACTGTCTACAGACGTCACATGCAACTCCTGGAACGATTCCATCAGTGCTGCCCCTTGAAAATCCTGCAAATCTCTTGGGAAGACAGGTGGACAAACGTCAGCGTGCTGGAAGAAGCAAAGACCACCAGCATTGAAGCGATGGTCCTCCGCCATCAACTCCGCTGGGCCGGCCACGTTGTCCGGATGCCTGACCACCGTCTCCCAAAGCAGTTGCTCTACTCTGAACTTAAGAACGGAAAACGGAACGTTGGCGGACAGGAAAAGAGATTTAAAGATGGGCTCAAAGCCAACCTTAAAAACTCTGGCATAGACACTGAGAACTGGGAAGCCCTGGCCCTTGAGCGCTCCAGCTGGAGGTCAGCTGTGACAGCAGTGCTGCAGAATTTGAGGAGGCACGAGTGGAGGGTGAAAGAGAGAAACGTGCCAGGAGGAAGGCGCGTCAAGCCAACCCCGACCGGGACCGCCTTCCACCTGGAAACCAATGCCCTCACTGCGGAAGAAGATGCAGAGCAAGAATAGGGCTCCACAGCCACATACGGACCCACAGGGAAATCCATAATGGAAGACCATCTTACTCGTCCAACGAGGGATCGCCTAAGTAAGTGTATGATACCTTTCTAGGGATGCAGTCATGCTCGTAATAGTCAGCCCTTGATATGTATGGTACAGTAACCATTTAATTAATTAACTTCATTTATAGTATTAGGATCCTTTCCAAATAATATGCCCAAATTATCTAACAACAATAATGCCTGCAATTTACAAAAAAGAGAGAAACATGAAGTCTTCCAAAATTTAATAATATAATAATACTGTATTTAGGTCTCATATCTGATATTAGAACAAAGAGAATACAAGTTTAATTATGAAGAATTTAAAAATATTTCACTTCACTAGAGCCTGTAGACATTAACTATAGCTCCCACCCTATGCAAAATGTCATGCCAGTTGGGAGAGTCATGTTCCACGGTCTTGGAGTCATCTTCAATGGACATGAATTTGTCTTCAAGATGAAAGAAATTGACTGTGAATGTGCCATAAAACCTCATATATGCACCTTGGAATATCTACAAAGTTTAGACATATTGGAATCTATAACTCAGAAGCCCTTACGATATTTGAGGTTATAAATTTAAATTAAATGATTCAAATTAATGAGTCAATAGTTTCAGATTGAAACTTTACATTAAATGCTTTGGGATAAGGAGAACCGTATCTTACTGGTAGGTGTAATCACCATGTGGTTCTTAGGCCACACCATTATGAAATAATTATATTTTAAGCCATGGGTAGTTGCTTCCACTAAGAGTCAAAATACTAAAGAGCTTTTCATTATCATATGCCGGAAGACTGAACCAAACACTATATATTAGAATATATACCAAATACTGTATTAGAAGCTTGGAGAACTTGATTCACTTTCCTAATATGTAGTTGTTTTGGTAGGGCAGAAAATAGAAATACAACAAAACTGGACTCTGTCTCTCTGTATGTTTTTGCTTTCAGCATCACTCCAAATAATTACCAAATATTTTTTTTCAGAATCTTGGAGAGCTTACATCACTTTTCTCATATGTAGCTTTCGTTTGTGATGTTGCCTTTCAACCACATAGTATTTAGGTCTGCATTTCCTATATCCTAGGTTATCAAATCTACAGATTTAACTTTTTTAAAGGTTAGTACTTTCTTTTCTTTTCTTTTTTTTAAAAAAAAGAAAAATCTATGCATGGAGCATAGTGTAGAGCCAGCATACATTTGTTATAGTAATGAAATCGGCAAGAGTGCAAAATCCATCACTGTCAGCAAATGTATGATAATATTTTTTTTTCTATAAAATAGTTAATTTAATATAATGTTGGAACAAAAATCCAATTCTCATGGACACAGTCTGCAGTTCTTTCTGTATTTCTGGCAGACAAAGGGCCCTTCTACATTGGCCAATAAATTGAGCTTCAGACCAAGTGTGTGGCTCCACAGGGACTCCATCAGCTGTGTTGGTCATGGCAGGCAATCCACACTGCCTAGCTATCACAAAAACAGCTACAAAAGCAACACAGACACCTATTTTATCCAGCAACCTTCTGGAAAGTCCTGTGACATGTGAAAGAGGCTAAAAGGGGCAAAGGAGAGGAGAAAAAATCCCCCCCCCTTCTTCCATACCACTCTTATTGACCTGAGTTAATAATACACAGTTTGTGATTAATCTTTAGGTTATTTTTAAAATAAACTTTCAAACTCTTGAGACACAGAACCATAATTTAGTGCACACAGGTGAAACGTAAGCTCCATTGGGCAAATCCAGCCTGCTATGTTATTTTGTGTGGCCTATGAGGCTTTCAATGCCAGGGCAACATAGTTAAACTTACACAATCTTACAATTGCTAAAGGTGCTTCGAAGGCAACTATAACGCTGGTGTGATCTTCAGTGAGAATCAGTTTGTCACCCTGGTTTAAAATTATCACAAGTTAGCATCGACCCTACAAATGGCATAAACCATTTGGTGATGATTATGTTTATTTATTTATACCCTGCTTTTCATTTCCACAAAGAAGATTCAAAATGACTATTATGTTTGTGAAAGAATAAGAAGTTCAGAAGGATGTTTGTGGTCCTGCATCTTGCCTCTGATTATGTAATGGATGTTGAAGTATTCTCAGCATGTCATGCTCAAATACATTAGCAAAAGTGCCTTTAAAAAAGATTTAATGGAAACAATTGTAAGAATACCATGTAATTATCAAATAATTACTTACGCAAGCACTGAGGTACTTCACCACTCCACGTTCCATTCCCAACGCAGGTCAAAACAGCAGGAAACGATAGCTCATAGCCAGGCGAGCAGATATAACTAATACTAAATCCCCAGTCAAAATTTGTTCCTTCCTGTCTTCCATTAGAAATCTGGGGTGGTGGTGGGCAGGTAACAGCTGCAACAACATTTAGAGTCATTAGGCACAGCAGCTGCAAATGTCTCCAGCGACTATATATACTAGGAGTACCATATGTGCTAATTTTACATTTCTTGAAGGGTAATATCATTTTTGTAGTAAATCTATTGGAATGACATTTTCTTGCTAGTGCTTCATGAAACACTATGCCTACTCATTTTCATGCTCTAATATATGCAACACGTTGCTATATCCTGCCACCCATTTTATATGTAGTTTTCTTCTTTCTCTTTCTCTTCCTCATGCACACAGGGAAATCACATTTATTTATTTATTTATTTATTTATTTACTTTGCTTATATACCGCTGTATCTCAAGCCCGAAGGCGACTCACGGCGGTTCACATACACTTGCCTTCACTTTTTCATTCAGTGCGTGGGTTTTATAAGCCTTTTATTGCCATAAGGATAGCTAGAAACAACCAGTTAATGGTTGCCAGGAAGTTGGTAGAAGGAAAATGAGATTTTTTTTTGTTGGGTCACTGAGGTCATTCTGAACAATATAGGATAAGGCAAAAAAGGCTGGTGAGGGCGAGAATCACACTGAATTGAGAAAAAGTCCATTAAAGTTATCCTCAAATTGCAGCAGTACCCCGTGAACAGCAAAAGGAAAAAAGAAAGGTATGACAATATGTATCAAGCTATGAAATCGTCTCAATGGTCTCTACTCCCTATTCAACAGATTGGTAGATATGGAAAGAAGCAGTTCTTCAGGAATTGTAGTGTAAATCCATGCAATTCTTCAAAGGTATGTACACATTATTCCATTGCAGGTTTTATAGACAAGATGCAATAAATATTAATATTGAGCAACTTACTCCCATTATTCACTGTAAGAAAAACTCTATTTGTTAGGGACTAAGAAATTAAGGAAAATAGACAATGGCTTTGTATCATGTTATGCCTTCTTGAGAATATCATCACAGGCAAAAAGCACACTTGATGGAATCACAGAAATGAGGCATTCCTTGCTTTTCTATCCAATTATAGAATGCAATGAGATTTGCAGTTAGTCCCACTTGTCTCTACTTTTAAGGAGGCTTCAAAAATCTCTTCAATTTAACTTTTCAAACCATTTCTATAGTTACAAAATACTGTAATTATTTTAAGGCTTTTACTGCTTAAATACCCAGTGGCACAGTGGGTTAAACTACTGAGCTGCTGAACTTGCTGATCAAAAGTTCACTGGTTCAGATCCGGGGAGCAGGATGAGTTCCCGCTGTTAGCCCCAGCTTCTGCCAACCTAGCAGTTCAAAAACATACAAACATGAGTAGATCAATACCTCTGGTGGGAAGGTAATAGCGCTCCATGCAGTCATTCTGCCACATGACCTTGGAGGTGTCTATGGATCATGCTGGCTCTTTGGGTTAGAAATGGAAATGAGCACCATCCCCCAGAGTCAGACATGACCAGACTTAATGTCAGGGGAAAAACCTTTACCTTTACCTAATATTTGTTAGCCTCCTTGGATATTACACTTTTGGTAAATGGCACAAAAAATGTAATAAATAATATTTCTGATTCTGGATTAATTTGAAGTGAAGCTGTATGCTGGAAAAGATAATCTTAAACTATAGCTTTGTGAGCAACACAAAGCCAAAAAGTATGAAATTGTATAAGAGTTCAATAGATTCAAAACTGGATTGATTTTGCCTTCAATTTAAATATTGGAGACTAAGGGCCCTTCTACACTAAGCTAAAACATGAGATGAAGCAGATTGTCTAGATGGTATCCTGAGTCAACCAAACGACACTCCAGGTAAACAACAAGACATGTCCCACATTTTGGGCCTGTCTGGATAACCATATTCAAAACCAACTCCTCTTGATCAAGGCAAACTATTCAAGTTAGACTGTCATGTTTTCAAAAGGAATCTTATATCTTGGAGCTGTAATTTGGTGTTTTCATTCTTCTGAACTTCAAGCACAAGTAATTTTGGTTTATTAGTACTCAATAAGGTAACAGCAATGTTGAGCAGTTTCAGTGTAAATGTCAAAGTGCTGAACTATCCTGGGGCAGACACAAAGTCTAACTCAGTGAAAAAGCTAACTATGTGGCCTTGGATCATGTACTCTCAACACAGCCTATGCTACGAGATGGTTGAGAGATTCAAAAGGCTGAACAATGTCTCAACCTACATGGAGGAAGCCAGATTATTCAAATAACAAATAAATGATGGTCAGAAATTATGAGTGCCATTTCTTTATTGAGATGGGTTAACCCATCTAATATATCTCAGAACTGAAGAAGCAGAAAGTGATCATTAAAATGCAAAGTAACAGTTGTCCTTGTTTCCTTGAACTAGAGGCCTAAAATGCTTTCTCTAGAAAGTCTCTAGTACTTGGATCAAGACTCAAACCCTCATACAACCCTGGTGCCTTTATTTAACATTTGTTACTGCTCATCTTCTCCAGTAGATCAAACAAGTCACAAGATATGATGTGTGCTGTATCATAATGCTTCCTTGGAAAGAATACACTAGAAATGCCCAATAAGCTTCAAATTGTACCTTTACATGCTGGAAGCATTCCACTCCACGTGCCGTTAGTGGTACAAGTACGAAATTGGGAACTGTTGGATTCCATTGTGTAACCAGGTTGGCATATATATATGACATTTTGTCCAACAACGTAATCATCACCATACCTCAGTCCATTGGCAGGTATACCTGGGTCCCCGCAGCTGATTACTGCCAAAAAAAAAGTAGTTGAAGAAAGGTTTTTTTAAAAAGTTTGACTGGATTTATAGAGCATATCTATTTTTCATTAGAGAAATCTTTCAATATTTCCAATGCACAAATATTTTTCAAACTATTGCCTTGCAACTATTCATCAGACATAATTCAACAGTTAGAAGAATGTGCACCTGTAATCACTATCAAATATGCAAAAAAAGTTAGATAGGCCATCAGCTAATATTAAGCTATATGCTCTGATCACAATCATAGCCAATACATTTCTCTTTCTCCCTTCTATTTCTCCCTCACTGCATATAATTTTTAAAACTCACTACTATTTATTATCAAAGCATTAATAGTAGCACTAATAACAGGAATAGTAATGCAACTAATTACATTGAGAGGGACAACATGATAAAAAGAGCTGTTTATTAACACGGCAATATTGGTCTCTTTTAGAAAATAAGCATCAATTAAAATAAAAAGTTATCAGAGCTGTACAATTGATTAATCATTTGAAACAACATGTTTCTAATAGTTGATAATGGGAATGCACTTAGAATCAGCACAATTGTGAAAATTAGGGCACAGCTGTTAAGCCTGTTCCTGCGTTGACAATGTAACCATGATGACAAAACTCCATCTCACCCCAAACATACCTTTGGCAATGTCATTGACCAAAATGTTTCCAAGGCACTGGAGATCAGGGTACTAGGAAATGATATCTGCGGGGGTCTTTCAATTTCAGATTGCATTGAGAACAGGCATCTGTCGAGACAGGATCCCACAGTGCAGTTGAAGCAGCATCTTTAGATACCTGGGATTCCTGCCTCAGCTGCTTGTCCCAAGGCACCCCACATCTGGGAAAGAACTGTTAACCTCATTTCCCAGTAAACACCAATATGAAGTGTCACTTTGGTGAGACTTCTGCCAAGCTAAACTTTTTGTGAGGTTGTGGTTTGTTTTTCATTGTGAATCCCCAGCAGATGTGAGATTGTAAGTCAATTTTATCATCACTTTACTGCTAAACAGATTCAATTCAGTTACAAGGATGGCTGAACTAAATATAAGAAATGGAACAGGTACGATCTCCTCTAACACAAGAAAAGTAAGGATAGTACTTCTAAAGCAATGGTTCGCAATCTTTTTTTGACCAGGGACCACTTAACCAGGGACCACTCTCCAACATTAGTACCAAAAGGGTTACAAATCAGTTTTTGGTCAACTTTACATTCAGTTTGGTTATTTGGGATGATGATTCAGAAAATTGCTTTGAATAGACCACATCAGCTCTAGTTTCTGATACAGAACATATGCCAGTCACCATCTGCTCACCCACAGAAAATCATATTTAATAAGCCTTGGCACTATAAGAGGGTTTTGCGAGACCAGCTGCTCTCATTGCAATGTTGTAGTAATGGTGAGGCTGCGGACCATATTTAGTTATTGTGGATCACTGGTGATCCATAGATCACAGATTGGGAACAACTGTTCTAAAACATAGTATCTGATGTTGTGTTTTATGATACCACAATGCAATATGGTGGAGCCCGTCCAAAATATCAAAGCATGTTTTGAAAACAATCTACCTGTTTCATGGGGCTAGATGAGACACTTAGCTTTCAGTTTCCTGCCTTTTTGGAGCATGAATCAATATAACACAGTTTTAGCTCTAGTCTTAAACCTGCAGATTTTTTTTCATATCACTTAATATGATTTAGACAGAGTAAAGATATCATGCATCTTTTATCTCTTTTTCAGTGTTACAAATCAAACTTGTGTTCCTTAACACTTTCTTTTATTAAAATGAAATCAATAAATATTTTCAATAAAGGAAACATGCACTCATTGTGACAAAGAAAAATAATCTCAGCTATATCCGTATTTTGAGACAAAATTCTGTTAATTTTCCTAGCTGTGGGATAGTCATGGTTTCTCCAATATCTAACTTCATTCTCTGATTTCTGCTTCATCTTGTTTTCTTTCAGAATTCTGTCTCCAGAGGCTTATATTTATACAAACTTCACTTCATGATTCTGCTAGATAGGTAAGAGGATACATTTTAAATATTTGTATTGTGCCCACAATTTGGAAACAAACAAACAAACAGAAAGTTTTTGCATTTCCTTTTAAAAATAGTTTTTGCCCCAAGCTGTTTATGTGGACTTTAATTAAAGCTGCAGGTATTACATGGAGAAAATACCAACACTGGAAATATAATACCCATTTTTTTTTAAAAAAAAAAAACCTATAAAATCTCTCTAAACTGTATAAGGCAAACTGAATAAAAAGATATATTAAATCAGATTGCCTAAAGGAAAATACAGAAGAAGAAGAATATTGACACCAAGTAAGTTTATTTCATGAATGCAGCTTATATTTTAGAGCGAACATGGTGTAGTGATTACAAAGTTATATTAAGATATCGGGAGACCAGAATCCAAATTTTTGATCTGCAAGAAACCCACATGTTGATTTTGGACATACCAAATCCATCTGAATAAATCTTGATAGAAAACCCCCATAAATCAGGAATGACTTAAGACACACAACAACAACAACCAATGAAGGGTGCACATTTCTATTCCCCTTCTTACACTGGCGAAAGAAAATGTGAAAGGAAGGAGAAAATGTGACAACAAACTCAATACAAGAATTTCTGAAGTGAGTAGTACATAATTGGATTCCCATGGGCACACTTCACCTATTTCTGTGTTCAGTAAATGATAAGCCTCTTTGGAACATAGAACAGAATACATTTTCAAAGGAACAGTTATCATGTCATAATTTTGCACTGCCTCACCCTGACACGTGATCTTCCATGGTGGCTAAGTGACAGAAAATCAGTTCAGGGGTTGATGAGTTAGAGGTGTGTTTAAACTAAAAGCATTAAAACTCTGAACATGATAAAGCTGAAAACTTTCAAAATCTCAACAGGCCTCTCTGAGGACTTTATCGTACAAAGTCACTATTCCACTAGAGGTGCATTATCATTGTCAGCAGATAATACCGCATTAAGCACCCTTAATAATACACCTCTCTTCGTTGGTACAATTGTGACATTTTTCCATTTCATGGGCTCATAAGTGTACACAAAATTAAAATAAAACAAGTACAACCAGCTTGGGAATAATGGCTGCTGGTGTGCTAGCACTGAAGCGGAAGGGATTCATCACATCAAAGTAGGTGACAGGAATGTTGTGGGATTGGGACATTTTTTTTCCATTAATAGCTAGAGGCAGGAGAACCACATGGAAGAGGCAGACTGGCAGTAGGATCTGTATGCTCTCCACTACCAATGTCACTTTATCTGCCTTGTGCAGTAAAGAATTGAGTATTTATCTTAATAGTGGAAATGCATAAATGCAAACTCTCTTGTTTCTCATTTACTTCTAATAAAGCAAGAAAATATTTTTCCTCATAGAATCAAGATAGAACAGAAGGCTCAGAAATAGTTCCTCTACAAACCAATGACAACTTGAGTTAGAGTGCTTCCAGACAGCACTTAATCATGGGTTTTTGTGAGGGGCAAAAAATCCTGGGACTTCAGGAGAGGTCCACATACAGAACTGTTGGTCTTGCTGCCTCTGTTGTTCTGAGATTTAAAGGCTCCCAAGATGGCTGCCACAGGACTTCTGCCATAAACCGCTTTTTTTAAAAAAACAACCTTGCCAGATGTGAAGATTTGGATATATGGCTAACTAGAAAAGTTCTCTTGCTCAGTGCTCTCATTGGCAGTTTCCCCAAGTACAAAAAGCTGCAATTTCTCCATATTTTATCTTTCTAAAAACAATATATTAATATTTCAATTAATAGTATGGTCACTTACTTGTGCAATTTGGCAAAGAGCCAGACCATGTTCCATTTGCAGTACACTGTCTAACAGAAGATCCAGATAAGATGTACCCTTCCATGCAGGAATATATCACAGAACTAGCGAATGTGGTACCATCTATTCGAAACACTTTCCCATTAGCTGGTGTCCCAGGGTTGCCACACTGGATAGCTAGAAAATCCAAATTGGAAACATAGGAAATGGAATCAATGAAAATGGAAAATCTTTTTAAAACAAAAGTGGAACTGTTACAGCTTTTAAAAAATTCCAAGGAATATTCTAGGAGGTGGAACTAATTCCAAAATCAAAATCATTTGCATTAGGTATGAGTAACCCTTCTTCAGAATAATTTTGCTAGTCTTTTGAATCCAGTTTTAATCATCAGAAGTTTCAATAGAGGAGAAACCTTCAATTTGCTCTAATATTTGCTTCATGTGCAATCCAATTACCCCTTTCAAATGTGAAGCCCCTTTTCAATCAAATTGGTTAGTCTTTTGAATAAAGACAAGTATTTGACTTCTCTTGTGATTTTACATACTTCCATATCAAGAAGAATTCTAGATACAGTTTTGGAGGAGTCCTGCTGGATAATTTATAAACCTATAATCTATCCCTAGGCATGAAGGCAACAGCAGCAACCCATGCCTTCTCCATGATCTAGTATTTAGATGTACATGTGCTGGAATAGTCTCCACAGGAGAGGCAAGGAAATCACATGMTTTTTTTTMTGGTTTTTTTTTGTTTTAGTTGATTTGGTTTTTTTTTGAGGGGGGMTGTTTTTGTTTTTGCAAATGCAGGGATATACAGTGATGTGAATATGCACATTTGGGGGGGGGGGGGGAGAGAATCAAGTTAAAAGATAACAATTTTACCCTGTGTTTTAAATCAGTTGCTGTGAATACTGCTAGCATCATGTAGCCATCCCCCCATTTTTTAACTCAGGAAATCCAGTGTTTTAGGTGCGGTGTAGATGGCTCGAAATGTATTACGTGCCTTATAATATGAAGGGATAAAAGAAAACATCTACATAGAGTGCTTTCCAAGTCTTATGGCTCCAATAAATATGTCCTTGGTTTGGAAGTTTCAAAATAGCATCTATAAACTAAAATAAGATGTTGGAAAGAAAGGAACAAGAAAATGACTCAGTCATCAAATAGCTTCATACAAGCAATAAAGCTGATCTCTATCTATACTCAAGTAACAGGTGGACCTATACCCTGACCTTTCATGTTGGCAAAGAGAAATGTCCATAAAGTAATCGATCAGCTGACCAACAAAGATGGAAGTGCTGGGAAATATCTTGGAAATCAAAGGAGAAAAATATCTTCTCAGCCAAAAATAGAAGACAGCCAGGCTTCTATAGCAGTGTAGGTGAACGGGGAATTAAAGGCATATACAACTCACAGAGGGTTTTTTTTTTTGTTGTCTTTCACTCCTTCAGATCCCCTGGGATGCCATTTATTTTGCCTTCATCAAAAGCGCAAATTACTGCTCCTAGAAGCCTCCAGGAGAAATAATTCACCTTTAAGATAGGTTATAAGATCTCCCTGAAAGGTCTAATATTTAATAAACCTGCTTCCCCCCCCCTCTTTTTTATTTTCATTTTTCTTCTCCTCATTTGTGGTGTTATTTGCGAGACATCCCAGGGGAAGAAAAATACCCATTAAGCATCTTAGTTACCCACACTGTCTAGAGTATCTTTTGTTAATTGAAGGCAAAACAGTTAACACGCTAATGCAAATAAATTTCCCAAAAACAATATATTTTTACTTGCCATTGGAATAAAGACTGGTAAGCTTTTGTCCATAAGGATAATGGCAACGTCTGTCACTACTACAACCACAAGGATCTTATATCACAAGAAAGATTGAAAGAAGTGCAATCAAGAAAGTGCTCAGAAAAGGGGAGCTGCACTTCTGAAGTGGAAACTACAGTCAAGCAATAATTCTAAACTTCTTTGTCTTGTCAGGAGTAACTTGAGAGACTACAAGTCATTTCTGGTGTGAGAGAATTGGTCGTCTGCAAAAACGTTGCCCAAGGGACACCTGGATGTTTTACCACCCTGTGGGAGGCTTCGCTCATGTATCTGCATGGGAAGCAGGAGCTCCCCAGATTCAAACCACCGACTTTTTGGCCAGTAGACTGAAAACTACCAAGAATGACTAAATATCTTCTAAGCAGAGGATCCAGAATCAATAATACTATCATACTCTGAAAGCAATGAAAGAGCAAGAATTTATTCAAGTATAGCATTGTCTAAGAGCAAAAAGGGTCATGCCGCTAGAGATTGTCATCAAAGACTACAAGAGAATATGAAATTATTGGATCTGTGCTAATGTTAATAAGAAGCAAGATTGGAAGTGTGAAAATGTCTTTAAAGTGAGTGCACAATCAATGTGGATAATAGTGGTAAAGACAGATAGGAACAGCCACTGTTAATTTTCGTGGTTCATTCTTGTCCAATTTGTCTCTTTCTTACCTATAAACATTTCCGGTTGAATTTGTACCCTTCCATAGTTACTGCTATCTTCTTTCTTTCCTAAAGGTAGACTTAGAAAAGTTTCCCAACCTTCCCTCCCTATGCCTAAAGTGAGTTCCTATAAAAAGCATTATTTTCCTGACTACTCCAAATTGGTTTTGTTCTTCACATAAGCCTTCTGCATCCATCCAATATTGCCAACATTAATACATCCTGGCTTGAATTAAAATCTAAATACTAAAAATTCCTTTCTACCTTAATAACAAAAACAGAAATTAAGCTTTGCCTCCTTGGATATTAATTCTTCTTTTACCTTCCTTCTTCCCAAATGCCGACTACCATTTTCCTTCTTTGGTATTACAGCAGCAGTGGAAGAGAGAGAAAAATATGAAGATCTCATTTCTAACTTTTCTCTTTCATGCTGATCATTGCTTCACTTTGTATACTGGTTAGATTTCAGAAATTGTTAGATAAAGAGTTTCCACAATGGTGTGGACAGTAGTACTGGCAAAAAAGTGAATCTGTAGCAGTATTCTACGTGTCAGACCAGGGACACACACACACACACACACACAGAGAGAGGGGGGGGGGGGGTCCTGCACTTTAATCATTTCCAAATTTTTGATACGTAGTTTTATGTTGAACTAGTAATTTCCTGTGTTCTCATGTATGTTCAAGTAGGAACAGGACTGAAATAGACTGAGCACTCCCCCGGAGAATCTAGTTCATGCTGGAGGCTGTCTGTTCAATGGATGAAGCTCACATTGCTCATCCACTGCACTACACCAGGTCATGGCAGTAAAATCTCTATAGAGAAAGATAGCACATGGTCTTTACAGCTGGCTAAGCTATAGCAGATGGATTTCACTAAAGTAATATAACAAATCTAGCTTTTTTCATCTTGATGGACCAAGTAGTGACGATTTATTGATATTGTACATGGTATTCTAATCAAAAATTTAATTTACCTTTACATTCTGGTTGCCTTCCTGTCCAACTTCCATTTACAAGACAAGTTCGTTCTTCTGATCCATGAAGGATATAGCCAAGCTCACAAGAGAACTGCACAACACTTTTTACTCTGAAATTGCTTGCTTCTCTAGAACCATGACCAGGTATCCCAGGATCTCCACAAGACCCTGCTGTGTTACCTATAATTCATAGTACAAAAATGTTTTAGGGAAAAATGTGACAAATGTGATACAAGTTGACTATCCTTTATCCAAAATTCTTAGGACCAGAAGTGTTGGATTTTGTATTTATTGAGATGCTGCATTAAAGGATTTCTGGAGACGGGCCTCAAATCTAAACACAAAAATCATGTATTTTGTAACATAGGCGTACGGCAATTTTATGCAGTATTTTAATAATTGTCTATATTAAACAAAGTTTGTGTCCATTGAATCCTCAAACAGGAAAAGTCTCAGCCACACATTTTGGATTATGGAGAATTCTGGATTTTAGAATTCTGGAAATTAGATCCTCAACCTGTTTTATGTTTTTTTTATATAAAACCAGCTAAAATATGAACATTTTTACATTAAGCATAGACAAGTCATGTTATAATAATAACACAATTATTGTAAAATTGAAATCCAAAATCCAAAAGATATTTATGGTAATTATGATATTTAAATTGCTCTCCTTTATAAAATGTTACAGTGATTTTACATAGGGATTTTATACAGGAATTCATTGTATTCAATGAAGTTCCATATGCATTTCAAGTTGGTTATATACATTTATTTAAACATAGTGTTTGAAGAAAACTTTTAACTAGTGCCAAATTATACAGTTCATAGTAATTTCTAAAAAAATCAAGCTTATGTCTGCTCCAGAATAATTAGGTAGATAGATAGATAGATAGACAGATAGAATGATTATATTGCTGTGCTCCTTCACCAACTTATGGTGAATATAAGACAAACCTATTATAGCATTTTCTTGGTAAGATTTGGTTAGAGAAAGTGTGGTGTGCCTAATGTCACTCAGTGGATTTCAGTGGCCGGCCAAGTAGAAATTTTAATGCTGGTCTCCAGGATGATAATCTAATACTCAAAGCACTACACCATATAGGCTCTCTTCATTGACGTAGATATACAGCCAATGTTCTTCAAGAAACCTAGTGTCTGAATATTTTAATATAACTCAATTTGTATCATTCAAAGTAACATTTAAGAAGCATGGTATAAAATATAAGCAAGAATCAATGCTTTTTTCCACCAAGGATCTGAAATTCATCCATGATGTTTCAAGCAGGCAAGCTATTACAAATGTAAAAGAAAGTGTGCTGTCTTCCTGACACAATTAGATGATCAACATGAACAAACTTCCAATTAGTATTGTCACAAAGGCAGATTTAAAAATGTCCTTTAGGAAATATACACAGTTGTCACTATTTATCTTTGTAGATATCCCAAATGGTGACAAAGAATCGTTTTAGGGCAGTTTACATGAACACCTCGTCCCAGGGCTGACCTGGACTGTTGCATTCCAAACTGGTTCTGGAATTTTTTTAATGCCAGCACCTGGGCCACTGCGGAGAAGTTACCTGGAATGACATTGGCTGAGGCACCAGAGTGATGTAGGTGAAGGAAGGGGAGAATGGAGGAATAACCTCCTTTCTTTGACCCCTCCTTTCTCTGATAGCCCATTTTCTCCAGCTCATGTCACTCCAAGCACTGAGCTTTAGCTACCAGTCATGTTGCCCACTGGCTGCTGCTATGATGAGAACAGGAGGAAGATGCTAAGTGTCATCCTATGTTTCTGACCACTTGCACCCAGTGAATATGGGAGGGCTATGAAAACAGTTGTCCAGCCGCTTAAATGGGTGCAGTCATGATCTCATGTATAAACTTAATGTAGTTTTAACTCCTTTCAAGAATGAGGAAAGGACCACTTCCACTCCCTATCCCTTTCATAGAAAAATCTGTTTTCACCTGTGCTAGAGAAAGCAACAGCAATGACAAGAAACAAGGTTAATTGTAGTTGCTATTAATATTAAGTCAAAAATTGATACTAATACCCCAAATCCTTTGCAAAATTTGGTTAGAAATGACTGGTTAATGAAAAAAGGTGAAACCACGGTAAGTACACTATGATCACTGTATCAGTTCCAAGATTCCCCATGAATATCTGCAACTGTTGTAATATTTTGGGCCAGAGGCATATCATAGAATTGCACTGGAGGATCTGGAATGGTCCAAGAATACTTCCTGGGGGAGTAATTGAATAATTGAAATTGTGGAAATTGAATCCACAGATAAGGAGGTAATACTGTATAAGGTAATTAAGCATGGTAAGCATGAAATAAAATCTTAACTAACTCAAGCAGAGGAAACACATGTTGGGGGAAAAGATAGTAGCTAATGTTTCATCGATTGATTTTTATGCCTTATCTAATAAAACAATGGTATCATATCTACTCTGGGCTAGTGAGATATACACCTCTCTTATGAATTTTAATGAAATTATTTCATTACAAATGTATCCAGAAACTTGGGGCAAAATTTCAAGCCTTGGTCTTATGCCACCAGTCTGATTTCCCTAAACAATGAAGTGATAGCCCTTCTAAGCAACAATTAGCCGCCTTTATAGCAATGTTGCCTGGACTGGAGCCTTGGCTCTGTTTCAGTCTGCCTGTAGTAGTGACTTTTTGTCTTTCATGGAGTCTCTGAAAGAAAAGCATTGCAATTATGGTTAGTTTTATTTTTAGTCAGTTTTAATGAACAGATTTATATGTGGCTTCTTTTATCTTATGTCATAGAATATGTAAGGAATATTTTATAAGGAAGACAAATAAGTGATGCTTTTCAGTGACACAAATTCTATTATGTTACTTATTTCCAGTACAAAAAGTAATGACCTCACATGAACCACATTTATCAACGAAACCTCAATTGAAAATCTAAATTAGAAATTTAAATATTGATCATCCAGAAAAGTAATTGAACTTCTTACAGTGAGAGTTTGGAAACATATGTGGAACATATGTTTAAATGGCCACATCACTGTTTAAGGACCTAATTCCATGGGGGGGGGGGGATCATCTTATCGTTTCATTTTCATTTTAAAGACAAAGTCCCATTGAAATCATAAAAATTCACCAAGAGGGCTGCTTTCAGTGGATTTTGCCTTTAAAGTGAAGAGAAACAGAGTCTAGTGTATCCTGGAAACAATCGACTTTACAGCTTTCACTTATCATAGAAATGGCTGAAATTGTGCATCTTAAGGTGAGATGGCAACTGCTGTATTTTAAGGTGGGATGGAAACTATGGTTAAATTCTCCATTTTCTTTGAAAATGGAAGGCCACTGAATGCCACATTTAGGGCCATCCAGACAGGGCCCAAAATGCAAGAGCTGGTGCACTTTTAGTGGAGGTGTACAAACAATGTCTCCAGAATTTATTTATCGTATCAGGAGCTAATTGTGATGTATTTGAGAAAACACAAAGTTTAAAAACTTGGCATTCTAGTAAATGTCCTTTGACCAGTAGCTGGCCACTGGTGCCTCTGGTGTTGCTGTAAGGAGGTCCTCCATTGTGCATGTGGGTGCAGGTTACAGTCCATACACCTTCCCCCTAACCTGCAATTTCTTGGGGGGGGGGGTGTCTAGACACCCAACAACCCCCCTCCCCAGAAAAATGGCTAAAAATAAAAAAAACCTAAGCCAGATTGAGCCCAGGTTAAAGGCCTGTGTGGAACCAGCCTTAGAAGGTTATTCTGCCCACTTCTCCCCCCATACCCCATAGGATGAGATCATAGTACATGATATCTTTATTACTTTTTACATACACAACTCTTTAGAAATTACAAAATTCTGATTCTAAAAATTCTTAAAATTTTAAATGTGCATTTTTGTCAAAAAATGCATTCCTATTATCTGTTAAAAATGATGATATTGAGAGTGTGGGAGCCAAGTGCACAGTACCTTACAGTTCAATGATGAGGTGCCCTGCTTGGACCATATTTCAGTGGCATATCTAAACTGCAGCATGGTGAAACATGACATTTTAAAAGCTCTCACTGAGAAAACTGCAACATCAGGAGGATATAAATATCTTGTTATTGCATGTAGAAATGATCAGATTCCTCAACCATTCTTAGCTTAATGGGACATGAAGGATGCTTATTCCACCTTTCATCTGCAGTGTCTGTCTACACTAGAATGATATTATTGATAACTTCAAAAGTTGTGAAGTGGTCTCTTCAAGTTCTTAAAATTTGAAGTGGAGCGTATTTTTCATTTAAGAAAGTTGTAACTAAGAATGGTAGCTTTAGTTACATAATAGGTTTAGTTGCATAATCTCAGTCTTTTTCAATGAATTGAGCTCAAAATTCACCAGTCTGCCACTGAAATTAGGAAGCAGGATACTATACACACACACACCTGAAGTTATACATCTGTTAATGGCTCTTCAAACCTACTGTTTTCTTGCATTTGGGATTTTGATTTAAAATGGAAAGTAAAAAATAAATAATGGAGATTATATATATATATATATATATATATATATATATATATATATATATATATATATATATATATATATATATATATGTTAATTTAAATAGTCCCTTTTTTTCTTTATTAATTCTAAAATAAGTTCAAGGATCCCAATCTGGATAAGGACTATACTATTTTCATACTATTCTCTAGTTCAGCCCTCAGATGCCTGCAGTTTTCTATTGACCACATTGAGTTATTCTTCAAATTAATCATTTTTGGCATTATAAACTGCAGATATGGTGTGTCCTGTACAGTTGCCCTGTAGGGATCTGTGTGTGTGTCTGTAAGGGATAGGAAGTGTTAAAATATCCTTACTTGACCCATTAGATCTCTCATATTTACTTTAGAATAAAAATATAGTTGTTCATTCAGAATCGTTCTTATCAATATGTAAACAGAATTAAAATATTTATTATCAACAGGTCAACTCTCCCAGCTCATCGTGACAATTTATCCTTTGTATTAAATATTACAAGAAATGTTCAATTTTCACTCTTGGTGTCCTTTGCAGAATTCAGCTTTAGCTGAAGCCAAATCTTCTGAACAATATTTGGTTTGATTTCTCAGTTCCTGAAAGGCAAACAAGTTGTTCTACCCAAAACCAATATAAGGTTAGAGTTGGTTTCAAAAGCACATTCACATACTTTAAAAGTGGTACCTGAGCAATGAGGCATAGATCCACTCCAGTGTCCATTTAACTGACATGTCCGAGATGGATGACCTATTAGTGACCGTCTTCCTGTACAAGAATAACGAACAGTGGATCCAAATGTGTATTTCTCCCCAGAAAGGACTGCGTTTGGAGGAATGCCAGGATGACCACAGTCAATCACTATGATGCATAAATATTGGAGATAAAAATGACATTACAATCACGAAACTCAAATGTATTCTCCACCTCCTCCATATTCTCAAGTTTTAGTGATCAACCAAGACTTCTAACATTGTGTCTTTATACCTGAGTTTCCCATAGTACTGTTGTAACAAACCCATGGTTGTTTGTTTGTACGTTTTCATAGGAGTAGGATGTGTAGTGCCCGTTGTGATGTTTTTGTTTTTGTTTTTTTTTAAAAAAAATGACATTTAAAATTTAGTGAATGTCATTTTTTCTTACAGATAACCCAATCCAAGTCACTTAACTGTTTCAATAAGATTCATCTCTTTGTACTTCCTAAAGCCTTCATTCATAGTAGATCTGAGAAACATTATCATGCTTCCTGTCATACATTAGATTATTTAAAAAATGGTAGAAAACCCTGTTAGATTTAACAATAGTCATGCAAGGTTTCCCAGGAGTCAAGATAGGGCTGGCATTTTTGCAGCTAATTTGCTATGTTGGCAAATGCAACATAAAGAACTGAGTTATGAAATGCCCATAAAGGTTCTAAAAATGTCAAGTGTTTAGTAATATTGCACTATTAATTCATTGAAGATATGGGCTAGTAAAAATGATAATACTTTTCAATTAACCAATTAGCTTTCATTTCTTGTGAAAGTGGATATATTTACAAGTAAAGTTTACTTTGGGTATCAGGGTTTTGTCCTTTTTCTCTTTCAGATCACACTACAATATTTTGAAAAGAAAAGGGACTATGTACAAAAACAATGGGCACTGTTGGTTAGGTATTTTATTGGAAGTAAATAACACTTATTTTGTGGCTCTGGATAAATAAAAAATCTGGAGGCATGAGAGATAATCAGTTTGAAGGGCCATAACATTATAAAACATAATTCACTTTAACAGATCACGAAGGAAGGTAATTTCATTTAAAATTGCATTCTGCCCTAGTAAAGATTTGAGTATGTGATGGCGCTATCTGTTTTGTTGGAAGTTAACCATTTGTGGCCGGCCATGCTTATATTAGGCAGAAACTGCTCATGGGCCATAATAAGGAAATGTCAAATTAGGTGACATATTCAGCATGTATTTCAAAAACATATTTGCTAAAGTGGTAAAATACCTGATTTTCTGGTATGGTTGTAGCTATCACTTAGCTTTTTTTCAGGGAGTAATGGTCATTGGAAGGTAAAGAAAGGGCTATTTTTCAAGTTTGATTGTTGAAGCATGTAGGCAGTATATGACTGATTGTTGTATGTATGCAGTACATGCGAAGGAGCCCCTGGTGGCGCAGTGGGTTAAACTCTTGTGCTGGCAGGACTGAAGACTGACAGGTCGCAGGTTCGAATATGGGGAGAGCATGGATAAGCTCCCTCTATCAGCTCCAGTTCTCCATGCAGGGACATGGGAGAAGACTCCCACAAGGGTGGTAAAACATCAAAACATCCGGGTGTTCCCTGGGCAACGTCCTTGCAGACGGCCAATACTCCCACATCAGAAGCGACTTACAGTTTCTCAAGTTGCTCCTGACATGACCAAAAAAAAATACATGCGAAGAACATTGAATGCTTGAAAGCATTATACAAAAACAAATCCCCACCATAATTAACGATGAATATTCTAAAATACTTACTAATGCACTCTGGCAGGGGTTTATCCCAGTGAGCATTGGGCTGGCAGACTAAAACTGAAGATCCAAATAAAAAATATCCAGGATTGCAGTCATAAAAAACAACTGTACCATAGGTGAAATTTCCATGTTCAATTTTACTTTCTCTTATAGAATTTGCAGGGATTCCTGGGTCAGTACAGTTGACCACTAAATAGAAAATAGTGAACAGAAGCATCACATGCATAGTTCATATTTTTAAAGAAACTGTACCAAAAATTGTTGGTTCTTGGAAAGAAATCTTTTCAAGTAATTATGTACATGATTCCAATGAAATAGCAACTAATACTTAATAAGATACAATTTGACTATACCTAAACTTGAAACCAGTAAAAAGATTATAGCATACATTATTATTATTGTTGTTGTTATTATTATTATTTCTACCCTGCCACCATCTCCCCTAAGGGATTCAGGGTGGCTGACAAAATACAGCAAAGTGCCACATATAAACAATACATAGATCTAAAATGATAAAACCATAAAATTACAATCACAGAAACACATAATTACATTATAAAACATTAAAATTCATAAAAAAACTCATAGCTGCTGATAAAAACAGGTTGTTTTCAATTAACACATGCCTAGTGCTGAAGTGACACTAACAGTAAGTCCTTGTACTGACCCTTAAAAATCTACGTAAGATCAAAGGCTTGTTTTAAAAGCCATGTTTTTAAACTGGATCAGAATGATTGAAGTGAAGGGTAACCCAATCTCTCTAGCGAGGGTATTCCAGAGCTGGGGGACCACCACCGAGAAGGCTCTCTCTCATCCCTACCAACCGTATTTGTGTTGGTGGTGTGACCAAAAGAAGGGCCTCCTTGGTAGATCTAAGAGGCTGTGCTGGCTCATAGAAGGAGATGTGGTCTCGAAGATACATTGGACCTGAAGCATATAAGCCTTTATAGGTACCTGTACTTTGAATTGAGCTCAGAAACATATGGGAAGCCAGTGAAGATGCCTTAACAGGGGCATAGTATGCTCCCTGAAGTTAGCCCCAGTTAAAATATTGCCATCAGTTATTCAGTATGTTTTTCCATTTGCCATCTACTGATCTTCATCAAAGAGGGATGATTTTCTGTTTACATCTGCACAGTGATTATATTAATAGATACATAAATAACCTCATACCATGATGCCATCCACTAGAATATGAGAGGAAATAAGGCATTCATGCACTTTCATCTTTGATGCAATTTGTGCCTACATAGTCATGTATTTTTGTCTATCAACAAACCACAGTCAGTATTTATAGAGAGAGTCAGCCTTCCATATTCACTGTGATTTGAGATATATGATTCCTATGAAGCAGAAAACCATGAATAAATATTTTTTTAACTTCTAGGAATCTTCTTTAGCGAATGGAGGAAATAGATATTCCTAGAGATAATGTTCAAATCAAATCTCTAAATAATCAAATTTGAAAAGTTGAATTCACTACTGTGGAGGACTCACAATATAATAAAACTTTATAGAGAGGCAACACTTTTAGCCTGTTTCATATAAGCAATCAATTATAGCAACATAAATATAAAATGAATGAAAAACATTACATGCCAGAAACTGGAACTGAAATACAGTACTAAATGAAAGAAAAATGTTTTTCTCCTTTTCTTTTCTTGTATTCTGAGTACCGTATATTCCGGCATATAAGACGACTGGGCGTATAAGACGACCCCCAACTTTTCCAGTTAAAATATAGAGTTAAGACGACTCCCATGCATAAGACTACACCCGCGTATAAGACGACCCCTGACTTTTGAGAAGATTTTCTTGGGTTAAAAAGTAGTCTTATACGCCAGAATATACTGTATTTTTCTCTCTCATTTTGATTGCTATATTTTTCCTGTCACTTTGACAGGAGTCTACTAGAGGGAATACTTTAGCTTAACTTTATGTAAAAGCAACTTGCAAGCTTGCAGTTATTTGAGAAGTTTACCAGTTTTCAACTGACAACAGCAAGTCTTGATTAATTTTAAAACAAATCGATGTAAATGTCATAGTCTAAAAACAAGAACTGGTGTTTGGTACCCCTTAGGAAGGACATGATTTAATGAACTTTATTAACCCAGTTTGACAAATCTCCTTTAAAAATGTGATTTGAAACTTCATGACTACTTTAGCTTCTGAAAAAATAAAGGCAGTGAACACACAACTTGGGTTTCCTATCCTTAGAGCCATAAAGTATATAGTTTTATTTATTACTGACCAATGCTCCAGAGAGATTTATCATCATTAAGTGTTTTTGGAGTTATTTTTTTTTAAAAAAAACAAAACAAACTTCCCAATCTTACTACTAAAGCTATATAATCTGGCAAAAAAAGTCCTTCCAAAGAATTTTTTTTTCACCATAAAATAAAATAAAATAAAATATTGTTGCATTTTGCTACAATTTATAGCTCAGTTTCAAGTATTAGACATACAACGTCCTCCATCTGTTCTAATCTATCAGGAACAGTCCTGAATAATCCTCTCCTGTCCCAGGAGTCCCCAGTGGTGCAGTGGGTTAAACCCTTGTGCTAGTAGGACTGATGACTTGAAGGTTGAGTTGCTGACTCAGAGGTTGCTGGTTCAAATCCAACCTGGGGAGAGTGTGGATGCAGGGACATGAGAGAAGCCTCCCACAAGGATGGTAAAAGCATCAAAACACATCCGGGCATCTCCTGGGCAACATCCTTGCAGACGGCCAATTCTCTCACCCCAGAGGTGACTTTCAGCTTCTCAAGTCACTCTTGACATGAAAAAGGCTCCTGTTCCACATTTTCAACTATTTTAAAAATGTCCCATTTTTCTCACTTCTTATTTCTTCCCTTCACCTCAATTTTGTTTCTATTATTGCAAACAGAATTTGAAGCTCAAAATTAATTTGCACTAATGCCCTATCTACAACACCGTATAATGCAATTTCAAAATGCAGATTCTGTGTATGGCTGTGTATACTGATATAATCCAGTTCAATCTGCATTATTTGAGTCTACACTAACCATGGTAATATAGTTCAAACTGCATTATATGACTGTGTAGATGGTCCTCTGTTGCTTTAGTTGGGGAGCAGAGGAGTGGACAGAATATAATTCTTCCCTGTAGACTAAAGCAAAGAGCAAACAGTAGATGCAGTTTCTCCTAGTCTCTTTGTCCTTCCTCATTAAAACTATTGCTATCCTGACCACACTCTGATCTTTTTTGGCCACATGAATCCTAGTTTTCATCAGTGAAATGTTGAAGGGGTAACATGTTGTATGGATTTAGCTTCCACAGCCTTCTACCAACTCATACATTTTGTATATTTTCATGTTAAGATTGACCTCATGTATATGTTAAGGACAGTTTTGGGGTCAAAATTATGATTTTTTATATGACCCATGGATAGGTGGAGGGTCATTTTACAGAGGTGGAAAGCACCAATACCACTTCAGGGGACCATCGCCACAGACCACTGCAATTTCCTCACTCAGGCATTAAAAAAGGCCAGAAGTGACATCATGGTAAATGGAGTAGAGGTTGTCAGAGTTTATTTTAGGTTGTTCTGGGATGACCACACACACACACACACACACACACACACACATAATTTAATGTATAGAATTCACATTGATAAACTGGCCAAGATTTTGGGGTTGATTTCTTAAACTAAAATCTCTAGTCTTATACATGAGTATATAGGGTCAATCCATTCTGGAAGCGAAAAGTGATGTATAGAAAAGTACATTTTTTTAAAATACAGGATTAAGATTTCAAATCTTCAGTGTATCAATTTCAAATCATTTTTTCTTTTAAGCCTATAAGAGACATTAGGCTAGAATAGTGTTGGACCTACAATGACAATATCATAAAATCCCCCAAGGTAGAGTGAGAAGTATTTTCCTTTTCCCAATAAGCCCTCTGTGAATTTCAAAAAAAAGTTCAAAGGCACTCATAAATCCTCTCAATTGACCTTCTGGGCACCTCTAAGGGCTATATGAAAATTAGAGTAGCTGTATATTTACCTCTTTAATTGTATAGTTTGGCTGATGTCACACAAACAACAGAGATCTGACTCATACCTTTGCATATTGGAGGAGGATGACTCCACTGTCTGTTCGCTTGGCACTGGGCTTTGGTTGGTCCTTGCATAACATAACCAGTATTGCAAGAGAATGTCACAACATCATTAAAGTTGAAACCATTTCCACTCGTTCTTCCATAAATTGGACTACCGGGATGGCCACAGCTAATAGCTAACATCAGGAAAAAGCAAGATGGGAAGTTTATTGTTATCACTTCTCACACATGCAGTATAATTAAAATGTGTTAGTCTAATGTCTCATTTTGACATCTAAGAAAGAATACAGATTACTCGGTTGTGGAAGATGCTTAAAAGAAGAAAATGTTCAAAAACAAAACAACTGTTAAGAGTTACTAAGGACCTCATCACACAAAAGCATTTATCCACTTTAGTTGCTTCCTCCTGCAGACTAGTGGGGTTTGTAGTTTAGTGAGACCCAGGACCTCTCTGGCTGAGCAATTCAAAAGTCCCTTCCTAAATGACAAATTCCAGAATTCTTCAGGATGCAGCAACTGGATTTAAATTGTATAGATGCTCTAGTATGATGAGGTTCTAAGAGTATATATTTTCATCATTTTTGATGTAAATATTCTCACATACTTCAAAATTTCAGAAATCTAGATTGGAATGGAAACTTTAATATTCAATTATTAATTCCATTAATGCTATATAATACAAATAGACATCGATGGTCTATGACTATGGCCAATAGCACACTATACTTTTCTACAAGTATACATTTGCCTAGTAAAAGATATATCATAACTTCATAGCTTAGGAGTAGCTAGTTACACAAAATTATTCCACTTTGGAACAACATGCATAAGATAATGAGAAATAGCACTACTCTTTTAGAGTGTAAATGTGCAATGCCTCCTTTTAACACAGTGTGAACACTAAAGTGCTGACAAGGTGAAAGTGAGACTTTTTTTTGGATTCTAGTTGTACGAAAATGAGTAAGTAAACAAATATCTGAAATGAAAGTTTGCCTTCCAGGCTTCAAGGTAGTAGCTGCTTATTAAATATTTTTTCCTTCATCAAATTAGTAAAAATACATTATATAAGTCCTCTACAACCGCTGTCATTCTTACTTACGCACACAGGATGGAAGCTGACCAGACCAGTTGTGATCTTGCTGACAAATCCGTACAGAAGAGCCAATGAGTCGAAAGCCAGGATTGCACTGATATACAACAGTGTCTCTGTAGCCATAATTTTCTCCAATTACTTGACCATTGACAATAAACTCAGGAATTCCACAGTGGCCAGCTAAAATAAGATAATGAAATAACAATAACTCCAAACTGAAGCACCAGTTTTATTGTCACCCACCCAAACATTATTTGCTGAGGAGTTATTAAAAAGACACATAAATTTACCTTTTGTCAAATCACAAACACAGACATATAAAGACAGAATTCCAGTATCAACAATATTTCTTGTTGGTACCCAAGATCTACAATTTTACTGAAATCCAAATTAACCAAAGAAAGGTTACTGCACATACTCAGCCAGTTTTCATCATGAATTTTAAACTTGTGTTTTGTGTCCACTATATTTTAATCATTGTTCTGTGTGTTTTAATATATGTATTTTGTAGACATGCATTTTAATATGTATATTTTATATAATGAGTGCATTTTTAGCTATGTTGTAACCTGCCTTGAATCAAGAGGAGAGGCAGGTAAGAATGATGATGATGATGATGATGATGATAATGATGCTTGTTCCAGCAGATTATTTTAAGCCTGACCTCCCAGTTAATAACTTTCAAATCCACAAATACATACATACAACTGCCATATTTAAGATAATACTTCATGCATCCCATGATGCAAGCAGAACAGCCCCCAGAGGCCAGCCTTAGTTGGTCTATTCCATTTCCCCGTAGAGAGCTCTTTGCTGAAATCCTCCCTCTTTTCTGCAGCTGTGACTTAGGTTTGGGATTGTCTGGTAATCCTAGGCCCAAGCAATTCAAACAAACATCCTTAGCACCTGCATTCAGGAGTAATTTTATACCACAAGTCTAAAGGACAACAGAAGCTTATGACCAGCTTATGCTTCACAAGAAAGAAGATTGAGACAGTTTATAACCATCACTTTGCATCATAAGCAGAAGACGCCAGAGAGATGACTGCAGCCAGCAAAGGCTCCTTTTGTAATGTATTGATTTAAGTTACCTCATGATAGTCCTGGGTGAAGTTAACCCTTTATTCATCTTGTTTGCAGTAAACTCACTTTGTTATCTTTTCACCTTGCCTAAAGTGCCTCTGTCTGCTAAGGGTCTTAATCTTAACAGAAGGTATAAAGATAGCCCCCGAGAAAAGCCAAACAATATAGTCTTTTCCAAAGGCTCGGGCATGCCATCACACCCTACTCCTGGTATTTACAGCTGGTGGAACAAAAAGCTTGTCTACAATATATCTTTAATCCAAAGTGGATCGGAAGGCAAAATGGGATGTCCAGGTGATGTCTGGGGATAAACCCAGCTAAAACAGTTTAATTCTGCATTAAGCAAAGTTAAGAAATGTCTGGAGTTTTGATGAAGCCCCAGTGGAACCTTAGACTTAGAGGTGAGTGTGGGAAGCAGACAAGCTCCAAAGTGAACTGGTCTGTAGCACCTTCCCTTTTCCCCTGTATTTGGCAGTGCAGGAAAAATGGAATCAAGGCTGTGAAAATGTAAGATAGCTAGAGAGAGAGAGTTATGCAAAAGAGAGTCCTCTCACTGTCTGCAGTATTGGTCCAAAAGAGAAAAAACAACATCGCTATAATATAGTCCACTATTTATATTAATATTGAACATGAGATATAAATCTGAAGTCCTCCAATCCTTTCCAGCAGAGTTCAGCCTAAAAATACTCAAACCCCAACATATTTTCAGGTCAAATCAAGCACCTTGTTGTATTTACAAGCCTCTTGTATTACATGTAAACCGATTTCATTTTTGCATGTTCAAAAAAGAAACACACACTTGGTTCATATTCAAGTAAGCCTCAAGGGAAGGCAGATATTTCTATCCTTGATGTCATATTTTCCAAGTGCCCTCAGCCAAAATGTGTATCATAGATAAAGTGAAATATCTGGGCTGTATTTGTAGGTTGACAGTGTGTGTATGTGTGTGTGTTATGCTATCATTAAAGGAATGTCAAAATGAGTGTTTCTGTTGAAGATATAGATTCTCCATTTGAAGTCAACAAAAATGAACTGTGGAAGTGAAAAGCTGTGTTTCAGAAAAAGGCAGGCTATTTAGACAGTGACACCTATCATTTACAGGCATTTCCATCATCAAGGAAACCACTTTATTGTCTGCTCACCTTGAAGAAAGGCTGTCTCATTATGGCATGAAAAAGGTGCACAAGCAAAAAAATTAAGACATGGGAACAGCAGAACTATTGCAGATAATTGGTATCTATTTGCTGCTTAGCCATTCAAGCATATCTTGTTTAATTCACTTTAGTCTCAATGATTTGAAGCAGATTCTTTTCCTTGTCTTTGCCTTTTTGTCCTCACTTTTCTTTGTGATGAAAGAGTTGCAGGGTCTATTTGATGCTGTCAAAATGTGAGAACACTCACCACTATAAAATGTTCTGTTGTTAATGCTCTTTTGATGCTTCTATTTTACACTTTTATTTTCAGAGCTCTGGGACTGAGGCAAAAATGGTTCTGAAATTCGGTACCCTCGCTCTGTTGGGAAATTTGGTAAACTCCACAATTGTTCAATTTAAAATATAATCATTCTTTATTATGTCTTTGCTAGGCAATAACTTTTAATGTGTTTCTTTCTTACAACTCAATTTTTCTGGAAGAGGTTTCTAATCATGCAATCTTTTTCTAGATTCCAGAGTATAGAGAAGATCAGACTATTTATTAAAACTATTGTTCAAGTATTCATTTACACACATGAGTCTAGTGCTTACAAGGAATGCCATGCATCATAATCTCCATCTGATATGTCTGACATGTCTCAGGTTATTTTATAAATGTCCTTTTTCCTGAAGATGGAAGGTTCATATAAGTTGTTACAGGTATGTTTGCTGATGGACTAAATCGAATAGGTGTTACATCGAAGTAAAACACAATTGATACTAGGGGCCTCTTATTACTTTCACCAATGACTAATGCTGCACCTATACTGTGGAATTAATGCACTTTGGCACCACTTTAACTGCCATGGCTTAATTCTATAGAGTCATGGGAGTTGCAGTTTTAAGAGATATCTACTATCTAGCCTTCACTGTCAAAGAGTGCTGGTGTCTCACCAAACTAAGAAATAAAGTGAAGTGAAGTGAAACTACCACTCCTGTGTCCGTTACTTTTAAGAGCACACTGACTGGCAGAAATTACTATGTTGATAAAAAATATTGCCTGACAATCCTGCAATCTTATTTATGTGACTGAATGCAAGCATGCAGGATGTCATTTGCAGTATATGGGTGAAACAACCACAGAAACCTTAAGTGTTCTATTTTAAGCAGGAAACTAGAGCAACCAATGGCTAAGGTTTTTCAGTAGTAGTCTCTCTGTTTCACTTTGAGGTGCCATTTCCTTCCAAAGTGACCAGTTCTCTCATATCTCCAAGGATTTACAGTATCTTATTTTAAAACCTAATTTTGGAGGAGGGGCTCATCCCTTAAATTCAGTACAGACTGTGCATGTCTGGTGAGAGAGGGTTTTGGGCAGGGGAAAAGAGAGAGAGATTGAGAGACGTCACAGGAGAGGGAAGAGAGGGAAGGGGGGAATCCACATGGGGGTGATGGATCCTCCCTCTTTCCCTCCAGGAATTGGAGAAAGCCCCAAAGGATCTCTCTCATTCAACCCAAGCCTGGTCCTGTAGTGAGGAAAGGGGGCAGAGTTTTTGGGGTCCCCCCCCACACACATACACACATCTATGAAAGTGAAAGAAGAGGAGGAAGGTGTGTGTCTTTGGGGGGGGGGGAAGGACAGGAGACAGCATAATTTCACCATGTTCCCATAAACCTGTACTTTATAATTAACAATATGTATACATGGAATGAAACAATGAGGTCAGGTATGTCATTCTTTCCCACTTTAGATTAATTGAATTGTTTATTGTAGGCAGTGACTGTTTATCCTTATCCATACTTTATAAATTTCCCAATGTTAATTCTACAAAAAAAATAATAATCCAGATAGACAGAGGACAAGGACCAAATCTGGAGTGAGGCTGCTAGGCAGCCTTTGTTAAACAAAGTTTCAGTGACTGATAATATATAATATACTGTTTTATTTAATATTGTCAGTTCCTTGAACATTTGCTGGAGTTATGCCACATTGCTAAAATTCACAAAATTTATTATTCCTTAAATTCATGGCTTAAATATAAGATATTCTGAAGAAAAAGAGAAAACTCTTAACACCACATTGCCTCAGCTTAGAGGATAGGCCACATTTGAATAAACAGTTTCTCATGAAGAAAAAAATCACAAACAGTTTTTCTTTGTGTGTTTTATGTGCAAAAAGGAGGCCTAAGTCTTATTTTACTCTAATCTAGAGCAGGCACACCAAATCTATTACATTTTATCTACGTTGACATACCATTCAATAGTTATATTATATTATTTATTTATTTGCTCACTTTATTTATACCCCACCTTTCTCCCTATGGGGACTCAAGGTGGCTAACAATCGCATACTTTGGTCATTATTTCAAAAGCGCAATACAAAAGAAGGCACCGTTAGAAAGGGAAAAGTTGTTATTTTTTCCGTCAGTCAACAAATGCGTATTCTTTTTCATTTCAGAGTTATTTAATTCTAAAATGTTCCTTTTCATTCCAAGTAGACCATGTCTTTGCAATCATAAGACTGATTGAAAAAGGAATTGGTTGATTCTATGGTTTGTTTTCATTTTTTTTTTACTTAACAGGTAGAAAAGGGAAAGCATTTGACAATGATAAAAGAGATATTACCTTCTGTATTAATGCAGTATGACTCAGTATACTAGAATAGCAGGGCATCTTGATAGGAAATGGTACCATTCAGTCATTATTTTATGTTTTATGAAGGCTGGAGTCAGTACGCAAAGGAAATGATCTTAAAAAATACAAAATAATATTTCCTAGAGTAATCCCTTTTTAAAACAAATCTACAAATGAAAGGTAGAAGATCCTATCATAATGCTGTGGACACTTTCTAAAAGAAATTAGCACAATTGTGATGCAACTCATTATGTTTTATTCATGTACCTATTGCATCACTATCATAGGGACAACAGCACAAGTCCTACAGTACTTGTGAGTTCAGTGGCAGGG